CTGAATATCACTGATCTCATTATTGCGCAGCGAAAGGGCCCCCAAGTTTCCCAGCCCTGTGAACATGCCAGATCTAAGGGTTATTAATTTGTTGTTATGCAGGGCCAAGTACCTCAGTTGTGGTGTATGATCAAAAGTTCCAGCCTGAATATCAGTAATGTCATTATCATATAGATAAAGGTACTCCAAGTTTCCCAGCCCTGATAACATGTCAGATCTGAGGTTGGTAACTTGTTATAACGAAGGTGTAACTTTCTCAGTTTGTGGTGTTGAATTGAAGGTTCCAGCCTGAATATCAGTGATCTTATTATTGTCTAAATCAAGTGGCACTAAGTTTCCCAGCCCTGTGAACATGTCAGATCTAAGGTGTGTTAACTTGTTATAACCCAGGTTCAACTCTCTCAGTTGTGGTGTTGAGTTAAAAGTTCCATCCTGAATATCAGTAATGTCATTATCATATAGATAAAGGTACTTCAAGTTTCCCAGCCCTGATAACATGTCAGATCTGAGGTGTGTTAAACGTGTTGTTAGACAGGTGCAACTTTCTCAGTTGTGGTGTATGATCAAAAGTTCCAGCCTGAATATCAGTAATGTCATTATCATATAGATGAAGGTACTCCAAGTTTCCCAGCCCTGATAACATGTCAGATCTGAGGGTTGTTAAATTGTTATGATACAGGTGCAACTTTCTCAGTTGTGGTGTTGAATTGAAAGTTCCAGCCTGAATATCACTGATGTCATTATATGGCGGATAAAGTTCCTCCAAGTTTCAAGCCCTACAAACATGTCAGGTCTGAGGATTGTTAGACGGTTACCTGAAAGCGATAATGTGGTAAAGTTTGACAGGTGATAGAATGCCTGGCTGTTGATGGTAGAAATGTTATTGAAACCAAGCCATAAAGTCTCTAAGCTCCTATAACGTGAGAAATCAGACTGACTTAACGTTGTAATTCTATTAAATCCCAAGTCCAAGTGTGTGACGTTTGTCGGCAGGTCCTGAGGAACACTGGTGAGGCCCTGATATCTGCAGTCACATTCTAAATACCTGCATCTAAAGTCAGCTTCTGCTGCTTAAGGATGTCAGATCTGAGGGTTGTTAACTTGTTGTAATGCAGGGCCAAGTTTTTCAGTTGTGGTGTATGATCAAAAGTTCCAGCCTGAATATCAGTAATGTCATTATCGTCTAAATCAAGTGTCTCTAAGTTTCCCAGCCCTGTGAACATGTCAGCTCTGAGGCTTGTTAACTTGTTGTTATACAGTTCCAGCCTTCTCAGTTGTGGTGTTGAATTAAAAGTTCCAGCCTGAATATCACTGATCTCATTAAAATGTAATTCAAGTGTCTCCAAGTTTCCCAGCCCTGATAACATGTCAGATCTGAGGGTTGTTAACTTGTTAAAACGAAGGTGTAAGGTTCTCAGTTGTGGTGTTGAATTAAAAGTTCCAGCCTGAATATCACTGATCTTACTATCGTCTAAATCAAGGTCCTCCAAGTTTCCCAGCCCTGTGAACATGTCAGACCTGAGGTGTGTTAACTTGTTGTTAGACAGGTACAAGGTTGTCAAGTTCCCCAGCCCTGTGAACATGTCAGATCTAAGGTGTGTTAACTTGTTATTATACAGGTGCAAGCTTCTCAGTTGTGGTGTTGAATTGAAAGTTCCAGCCTGAATATCACTGATGTCATTACCGCGCAGATAAAGTTCCTCCAAGTTTCCAAGCCCTACAAACATGTCAGGTCTGAGGATTGTTAGACGGTTACCTGAAAGCGATAATGTGGTAAAGTTTGACAGGTGATAGAATGCCTGGCTGTTGATGGTAGAAATGTTATTGAAACCAAGCCATAAAGTCTCTAAGCTCCTATAACGTGAGAAATCAGACTGACTTAACGTTGTGATTTGATTCCCTCCCAAATCCAGCTCTGTGATGGTTGTCGGCAGGTCCTGAGGAACACTGGTGAGGCCCTGATATCTGCAGTTACAGACTGAAATGAACCAAGCTGTGCAGCTGCAATCAGCTTCTGCAGTTCCCAACACCTTAAGGATGACCAGGAGGAACATCAGCACACCTGCTGGCTTCTTCATGGTGCACTCCATGTCCTGGTGTAAGATTTTTGACATAAGATACTAATACTCCATTCGAGGCTGATCAATGTGCAGGTAAATGTCTTTGTGGAGAAAGGTTCTTGATATATGAGTTTGTACAACAGAGAAGAGTAGAAGCAAAATGAAACTTACCTACTAGTAGGTAGGAGTGATGTGAAGATCAAGATGCTCTAGAGGGTAACCTGCACTTGGGCTGACAGACCTGGCCATGGAACCAAGTCAGAGACTCCACCATGTAAACTGCCTGCAGACCCTGAATGGGGTTAAGGGTTCAAGATTAGTCAATGTTTATGATCATTTTAACTGTTGTTACTGTAACAGTATTTTTATTTAGAACATGATTTTAAACATTCTACGAATAAACCACAAGGTTAGGTTAAGAGTAAAATAGCAAATAACTATAATAGTTATCAAGAAGATCCCTATTTTACACCATTGTTAATAAAACATGGCTTACAGATCAGGTCAATACAGAATGTTTACCATCGTCACAAACTCTCTTACGACTGTTCACACTTAAAACTAACCTTTCAAAGCAAGCTGGACACTCTGGACTTCTGCACACTTTCTTGCCAGGAATGCTTGTGAATCTTCTCAAAAACTTCTTAAAGGCTGGAGATCTTCTCTGCTTCTTACATGTAGTGTTGGGCCTGTAGAATATTATCTGACTGTGAAACAAACGCCAGCAACTACCGTAGTCAGACTTGAACACCTTGAACCTTGCTCTAGTTGTTGCATGGTACATATGGCATTCTTATGCTAGATTGAATGGGATGGTTAAACATTAAACCTGAATGTGGGCTTTACTGTTATTACAAACAGTGGCATTAGCTCAGCACAGAAGAATGCATTCCAAAATTGTCAAGCTTTATAATTGCCTCCTGGTAATTTCTACATGTATTTGACGCATGCTGGTGAAACAAATATCTGTCAAATTTGCACAAGACAGAAACTTGGCATTGAACCCTATTTATGAGATGAAGTGTGTAGATGGATAAAATGTGAACATTTTGGGCTGTTTCAGGTCAGTTGTACAAAATTTAATGTGAAATACCCCGGTATTCAGAATTCCTTCTCACCTTTCTCGGCTATGTTGACTTGTTGACACATATTTTCTATGCACATAAAGAACAAGCCATGTCAATATATTAAATGTATTCACTGGACCACGTACGCGCGCGCGCACACACACACACACACACACACACACAATAACACACACACACACACACACACACACACACACAATAACACACACACACACAAACACACACACAAACACTGACAATACAAAGACATTCACTTGATAAACCACAAGGATAAGTAACAATGTTCTTTATAATCATGTTTAGAAATTTTAGCTTTCTGTGAGAAACAAACACAAATCAGATCTATTTTTTTTACTTTTTCGAATCTACTCATCGAAACTACTGAACAATGAATATGACCAAACCAATAAAATAATTTTAGGAATAGATCCCATATCAGTCTCATCAAATTATGAATCAACTTACATCAGATTATTCTATCAGACTGTCTTACATGTATCTCAGTCTATATATGACAAGTCATTGTATAAAGCCTTACAATTGAAGAGTGTTTTGTCTTAAGACTACATTTGACTATTTATTCATTTATTTATACATGGGACTATTACATATTAAACTAGAGAAGTAACATTTGCAAAGCAAATGCATAATGTTTACCGACATAGTCTGCCCTGTTACTCAAACACATTCACATACATGTACTACGAGTATATGGTGACAGGAGTAGAGCCCATGAAATTGCAACATTATGTAACCTAACACCAGTTACCATGGTGACAGACATCAACAAATCATGTCATTGGTCAGGTCAGAGGTTAGTGTTCGGAACAGAAGAGGAAGAAACTGAGTAAAAACAGTATGTTTTTCTTCGGTAAACATAATAACTGTATCTTAAGCATAACTGTGTGACATTCAGGCTGGTTGTTTATCTTGTCTAATTTGCTTTCTTTTATCTTACAGGTGGGAGTTTTCAGAATCTATTGAGGTCCTTCTGAGTGGCTGGTAGTGGGGTAAATTGTCCTGTCCATTATCAGGCCTGCTTGTTGTCAAAGACTGGTAGATGTGCTTAGGGATATTCTCATACCCAGTGGCACTAGTGGTGTGGGGCAGGGGGACTGGGGGAGGTTCATTGTTGCTCCTGTTGGGTGGTCGGAGGGCCTGCCCTCTAGCGGTTTGGCTTGGAAATGCACCTCTTTGAGGAGGCTGCACGTCTTCGTAAGACTCGGACTGGACCAAAGCAGGCCGTGGGTCGAGATGTAAGTTTCTGACATCTGAGGAGAGACCTCTAGCAGTCTGCCTTGGAACTGCATGTCTTGCAGGAGGCATGACAACTTCGTACTGAGGCTCGACTTGGGAGGAAGCTGGCCGTGAGACAAGCTGGGGGTTTCTGATGCCTGAAGAGAGACCTCTAGCAGTTTGCCGTGGAACTGCATGTCTTGCAAGAGCCTTGACATCTTCATATTAAGGCTTGAACTGGGAGGAAGCTGGCCGTGGGACGAGGTGGGTGTCTTTGGCATCCGAGGATCCACTCATAGTTTCAGTTGGTACTGTCAAATCCTGCCCATTGGTTACTATGGTAGCTGTGGTGTTGGTGTTGTTATAAACAACACTGAAGTCTGGGCCTTTGTGAGGACTCTGGTTGTTCCTCTTGCACCAGATAGTGAGAATGATGCCTCCAATTATAACAGTGCCGGCTATAGAACCACAGACAGCACCAAGGAGTACAGGAAGTGTCACTGTTGGCACTGTCTGTAGGTCTACAACCAGGGTAGAAAAGGTGGAGCCGGCAAGATTTGTCGCAATACAGACGTACAGACCAGCATCTGCTGCAGTAACGTCTGTTACGGTGATGATACCGTTCATATCTGCAGTAGCATGTTGCCCAGATGGGAGAATAACTGTGATGTCTGGTGTGGGGATTCCTGATGCTTCACAAACCAAACGGAGAGTCTCTTCTTGTACCAAAGTGTTAACACTGTTAAACCTCACAATAGTTGGCTCTTCATAAACTACATCAATGGACAGTCTGGCAAATGTGGACCCAACAAGATTTGCTGCAATACAAGTGTACAGGCCAACATCTGCTGATGTAGCATTTCTTATGACAATGTTACCATTCACATCAACAGTCACCCTTCCAACCGAAAGAACAGTAGTATTCAGTCCAGATGGGAGAGTGACTGTGATGTCTGGTGTGGGGATTCCTGATGCTTCACAGAATAAATTGATACTTCCTTGCACCAAGGGGATGTTAACAATTGTTTGAAACTTTGCAATGGTCGGTGCTTCACAGATCAGATCTGTTGGATTGATATCTATCAACTTTTGTCCATAAAAGTTGTCAGGTTGGGAACAATTAATTTGGTTTTCAAAAGGATGAGACCCTGTCATTTTCAACCTAAAGTCAACCATCCTACAGTCACACTGCCAGGGGTTGTTGTCAATTTTTACTTCAGGCCAGGGGTTGTTGGAGATGGAGGAAAGAACGTCATAGGCCACGGAGGGAAGGGTTGTCAGTTGGTTATTGTAAAGGTCAAGTCGATAAAGTCTTTGAAGTCTAGATCTTGACAACTCTTCAAAGGGAAATGTTGTGATGTTGTTGTCTGACAACCTAAGGTCTCTCAGTTGCACCAGATTTGACAGTAAGTTGGATGGAATGGTTTCAATTTGGTTGTTGTACAGGTACAAGTATCTCAGTTGTGGTGTTGAGTTAAAAGTTCCAGGCTGAATATCACTGATCTCATTATTGTACAGCCAAAGTTCCTCCAAGTTCCCCAGCCCTGTGAACATGTCAGATCTAAGGCTTGTTAACTTGTTATTACGCAGGTTCAAGTTTCTTAGCTGTGGTGTTGAATTAAAAATTCCAGCCTGAATATCACTGATCTCATTATTGCGCAGCGAAAGGCCCCCCAAGTTTCCCAGCCCTGTGAACATGTCAGATCTGAGGGTTGTTAACTTGTTGTTAAACAGGGCCAGCCAATCCAACTGTGGCGTTGGATTGAAAGTTCCAGCCTGAATATCACTGATGTCATTACTGTCCAGATGAAGCCTCTCCAAGTTCCCCAGCCCTGTGAACATGTCAGCTCTGAGGATTGTTAACTTGTTGTCAACCAGCCACAACTCTCTCAGTTGTGGTGTTGTATCGAAAGTTCCAGCCTGAATGTCACTTATGTTATTATTGTACAGGTAAAGGCCCTCCAAGTTTCCCAGCCCTGTGAACATGTCAGATCTGAGGGTTGTTAACTTGTTGTAATACAGGTGCAAGGTTCTCAGCTGTGGCATGGGATTGAGGCTAGATATGAAGCTCGTTAAAGAGTTGTTGTACAGGTCCAAGATTCTCAGTTGTGGTGTTGAATTAAAAGTTCCAGCCTGAATATCACTGATGTCATTATTTTGCAGCTCAAGTTGCTCCAAGTTCCCCAGCCCCGTGAACATGCCGGCTCTAAGGATTGTTAACCTGTTAAGACGCAGGTTCAAGGTTCTCAGTTGTGGTGTATGATCAAAAGTTCCAGCCTGAATGTCACTAATGTCATTACCGCGCAGATCAAGGTTCTCCAAGTTCCCCAGCCCTGTGAACATGTCAGGTCTGAGGGTTGTAAGGCAGTTATAGGAGAGATCTAAGCTGATCAAGTTTGACAAGTGATAGAATGCCTGGTTATTGATGGTAGAAATGTCATTGACATCAAGTCCTAAAGTTTCTAAGCTCCTATAACGTGAAAAATCAGACTGACTTAAAGTTGTGATTCGATTCTCTCTCAAATTCAGCCGTGTAATGGTTGTTGGCAGGTCCTGAGGAACACTGGTGAGGCCCTCATCCCAGCAGTCACATGAAGTGGCTGAACAGGACCAGCAGTCAGTTGCTGCTGTTCCCAACACCTTAAGGATGACCAGGAGGAACATCAGCACACCTGCTGGCTTACCCATGGTGCAGTACCTGTCCTGGTGCAGGATTAAGATACTAAAATAAATGTAATGTTTCGTGATTACTTTTTATGATTACATTTTACACTTCTAGTTGACATATCACTTCTTCATACAACCATGTCTAACTTAGTAGGATCAAACTCACCCTGATACTGATGCTGTGAAGACTGACACCCGTCAACTATCGGGTTAGAGACTCGTCAGCTGCTACTCTGTACTTGGGATGTCAAACCTGGAAACAATGATAATTGTAACAATCATTTTAACAAATGTATATGAGTACAATGATTTTGAATATTCTCTGAATAAACTACACCTGTCCAGTAAAAAGATAAGGATTATTGCTGCTTATTCATTACATCTTTTGAAAATTATTTACTAATTGCACAAAGGGGCCAAACTTACCTAGATTATGATGCTGCAGAGAAGATTCACAGCTGGCAGCCACAACCAAGGTTTCCCAATTATCTGCACAAAAACTGCAAACAACAAAGTAGTGCAGGTTATTGTTACAGTACTTTAGACATCCTGTTTGGAATCAGTGAACAGCATCAGGGCAATAAAGTAACATAACGTACCTCTGCTGACTACTTAAAATAAAGTCCAAGTACCTTCCAAGTTTGTGCCAATTCATTTGAAGACAGAACTTCAGACTTGTGGGGCGTCTTCTCTCCTTGGCCCTGCTGAGCTCAAATGTTGTTCCTCTACTTTAGAGCTGCGTCACGAGTTGCCGTAACTCAAATAGTCTAACCTGTACTTTGACTTGGTGTGAGTCATATGACAATCAGTTACCTTGACTGGACATTGAACAGGATGGTAAATATTGAATATTCATCAGGATATGTGCTGACTATCATGTGAAGTATTTGTTCTTTACCCAAACATGCATGCATATAGGGCATTATAAGTTACACAGTCACCCACCCACTCATTTACACACATGCAGAGACACATTCACACACACAGACTCCTTCACAAACACACAGACACTCAAAACACACACACACACACACACACACACACACACACACACACACACACACACACACAAACACACACACACTCACACACACACACTCACACAAACACACACATACACACACACACACACACACACACACACACACACACACACACACACACACACACACACACACACACACACACACACACACACACACACACACACAAACACACACACACACACACACACACACACATACAAACACACACACACACACATACACACACACACACACACACACAGACACACAAACACACATGAAAGCCTGTTAATGTGAGTAAAACACTGAATTTAGTTAATTAATAAAGCATCCCTAAATGACACAAAGTTAATCATATAAAGATTAATTAATGATACATCAACTTCATAAACACCACAAAAAGCTAATTACATTAAGTACGTTAGTACATTCTTGACTGTGTACTTGTGTACTTGTACAAAATAACGGTGAAATAAAGTCAGCTACTTACATTTGTAAATCTATATTATTAATTGACGTAAGTTACTGCAAACTATCAGAACTACTGCCACAGTGGCTACATGTACAAATGTATGACAGTAACCAAGACAAGTTTCATGTACTCTTCAACTGACAAAGAATTGAAGTATTGTGCTCGCTCATAGTACATTAAGAAGGTAGTCTGACCTAATCCAGATTATAATCAAAGTAAGGACAATACTGTCTAGCCAAGCTCTGACTGGTAGTGTAAGATATTGGCTGTCAGTTACAATCATGACTAAGTCTTGTACAGTTCTATATGGTATATTATAGATTCTGCTTCTCACTTTTTCTTAGACTGCCAAAATTGACATCACAATTACAAGACATATTTCTAGATACACTTACCATCAATTGGAAGCTAATTCAGCTGTGAGGATTGAACATTTTACATGTCATCTTGGTAATATACATATTATGCACATGCATCTACAATATTTGCACACTTTGATAAAACTTTGACAGGGCTGATTAGGTATAGTTGACATTTTGGCTAAGGTTGGTTTTCCAATAAGTGAATGTTGCAAATAATATTGTATCAATGTAATTCAGGTACAATTCATACAATGCAATCTGGATCATTCTGCACAGTTTGATAATGTTACTTTGAAAAACAATACAGAAAATGTTTGAATCTGTTCAAAAAAACATTTCATTTGACCAGTGTCTGTCCCTTACATTAGTTCAAGCTGCTAGACAGTCTGGGATATTTCTGTGGTTTTCAAGTTACAATCATTATAATAATAATTATACATGTACTAGGTATATGTACATGCATCTACATTTTACACACTTTGGTGTGATATTTCTGTCGTTATGGAGAACAGTTTATTCAACATTTAGAACTTTATTCACTGCTGGACAGTTCACAGTAAGGAGCACGTCCTTATTTCTGTGCTCTGGGCTGAGAAAATGGATTTTCAAGGATATTATCAAATGTAGGGACCATGTAATATGTAGCCTCAAGGATAGCTATATTACATGTTGGCTGCATAAATGATATTCAGGCTGGTTTTTGCCTCCATGTATGGAGGATAGTGTTTTTGTGTGTTTGTGTGTGTGTGTCTGACTGTGTGTTCGTACAATTGAGTGACACATGTGGGTGGGGTGGAGGAATTCCCTAACCACAGACCACAAAAGGCCTGACATAGGAAGTTCCCAGAAACCTAATTTTTTTTTATTTATGACGATTTTACCACATTTGTGGAAGGATTGACATAACAGGTGACTATCACCTCTTCAAAGATGTCAACCCCGAGACCAGACAGTAAGGCTTGAACAACTCACACCGGGAAGGTCCCCTACTCTTTTCGATAAGTGTGGTGGGTTCTTTAATGTGCGTGGGGTGTGGCCTCTCCCAAACACGGGACCTCCATTTAACGTCCTATCTGAGGGACGTCCCTAG